TGGAATTCAGTTTCCGGGGGATAAATTTAGGCAGTAAGTTGATCCTTGGACTCCTCTCCACTCCACACAGAAATAACAGCTAAAAATGTCAAGGGAGAAAAACAAATAACTAGACTCAAAAACAAGAGAAACAGCAGACCAAAATGCAGCATTGCAGAGCTAACATTGGGCCTGTTGGGCAGCAGGTCCATAAGCAGGCAACAGTAGCACATTCTATGGGCTAAAAAGCACTGGAAGTGCTCCACATAACAAACACATAGGGACAAATAGGACTCACTGCTTGAGGTAAGCTTTCCCTCCAAAAATTATTCAAAATATCATTTGCTATTGACCCACATAGCCTTGAACTTGAGCTTTTAAGTTCAGCAGAAGAGAGGACAACTAGTCTTCCCACTGCTGGTGGGCGATAGCCCCAAATCATTGCAGGACACTACCATGACCCCTAGTCTTGGGGAAGGGGCCAGAAAATTCAACTAAAAAACCCCTTAGATGGTTAGGAAGGGATGGAGAACTTGGACAGAGATAAGCTAAAACAAAAACAAAAATTCTCCCACTCCAGTAACCTACAAACTCAAATTCTAACAAACATGAATAAATACTACATTTAAATTCTGCCAGCCAGGGGCACCTGGGTGGCTCAGTCAGTTACATGTCCAACTCGATCTTGGCTCAGATCACGATCTCACAGTTTGAAGGTCTGAGCCCCATGTTGGGCTCTGTGCTGATAGTGCAGAACCTTTTTTGGATTATCTCCCTCTCTTTTTGCTCCTCCTCTGCTCTCTCTCCCTCTCTCTCAAAATACATGAATTAATGAAAAAAAATAAATTCTGCCAACCAAATAAAAAATTGGAATTTGTGGGGGGTGAGGGTATAGGTGAAATAGGTGATGGGGACAAGGAGTGCACTTGTTGAGGGGCACCTGGCTGGCTCAGTCGGAAGAACATGCGACTCTCGATCTTGGGGTCTTGAGATGAAGCTCCACACTGGGGGTAGAGATTACTTAAAAAAAATACTAATAAAAAAATACTTTTTAAAAAAAAAAGGAGAAAGAGGAGGAGAAAGAGGAGGAGGAGAAGAGGAAGAGGAAGAGGAGGAAAAGGAGGGCACTTGTGATGAGCACTGGGTGATGTATGTAATTGTTGAATCACTGTATGGTGCACCTGAAACTAATATTATACTGTATGTTAAATAACTGGAATTAAAACTTAAAAAATTGCGAATTTCCCCAGAAAGAATTTTATAGAACAGTCTGAATACATTACTGAGCAAAAACAGGAAGAAACCAACCAAAACCAGACGGGTATTAAAAAAATTAATCTTAGAAATGAAAAATACAGGTATGCAGATATAATATTCATGAGATGAGATGAAAAGTCCAACCTGGACATAGTCAAAAGAGGAATTAGTGAAAAGATACATCTCGTATGAATTCTGAAGTAAAAAAGAATAGAGAAAATGACAAGCATATTTTTAAAAGAAAATAGCTTTATATGTCAATCATACCTCAATTAAAGAAATAAAGAGAATTTTCCATAAATCAAGATATACAAAGATTTTCAAATTAAAATGTGCTCTGAAAAATTAGCAAGATAAACAATACACTCAGAGTCGCCAAACTGAGGAATATTAAAGATAAAAGAAAAATCATGAAAGCTAACATTATCTTCAAAGTAACAATTAGATTGACAGTAGGCATCTTACTGATAACCAAAGGATCCAGAAGTCAATGGAGTAGTACTTGAAACCTGTCAAGAATTAAAAAAAAAAACAAAAAACACCAACTTTAAATCTATGAAGAGTGAGCATCAAGAATTAAGTTTATGACCACTCTATAATTTCTTTTTTAGTTTTTATTTATTTTTGAGAGAGACAGAGACACAGCAAGCAGGGTAGGGGCAGAAATAGAGTGGGACACAGAATTTGAAACAGGCTCCAGGCTCTCACGACCTGAGCTGAGATTGGTCACTTAACCAACTGAGACACCCAGGTGCCCCTGGCTTATGACCACTGTAACACCAGATTAGATTCAAACCACTTTCAGCCATAGCCTTCCAATGACTTGGGTGTACAACATAACACAATTCAGTAACTGGCAAGTTATCCATAGCCCTTTAAATGATGAGTCACTATATATAAGCTTTTTCAATAACTTTATTGAATAGCCAAATTGATAAGTTAGCACATTTCAAACGATTATTTGCATGGGTTACAAATGACTTTTTTTTTTTACAGGAATAAAACAGTGAAAATTACAAACTGTAAAAAGGAAGACAAATCTTGTCTCTAATATTTAAGAGATGCAAGATTTAACACAGCACATTGAAGATCAATACATATGTGAATTTGAGAACAAGAATTTAATGTTACAATATTATACACTACTTTACAAAATTAAAATTTCTATAGAAGGATTTTATTTGAAATAGTTAACAAAATCTTGAAATCACATTTGATGGTCCCTTAGATAATAGCTGTTATGCATCTTTAATTAGAAGAAATAAATCTTTAATTCTAATTATTGTAAAACAGTCTGTTAGACTCAATACATTACATTAAATTAAAACAATGAAATATATGCAAACTAAAATGGTACAGCTTGAGCGAATATTAGTATGTCACGTACAGAAATGTTATTTTAAAAATCCTAGAAATTAGAAAAATAGAGTACTTTTTGTGGTAGAATTGCCATGCTCAGATTTAAATACCAAGATTGCCCTTGTCTGTTACTTTAGTAGTTGTAGATCTGTAGAAAATTCAAGGATCTTTCATAATTTACAACTACAATAAAAAAAATATGGCATAGTGTAAATATTAGTTGCTTTACATCAAAAAGTAATACAAGATGAGATAGCAGGTACTGCTCTACTGCCAAAAAAAAAAAAAAAATCAAACACATTCAGTACAGCAAAAAATAATTGCTTAATATCAATATCTCCAAAAGGCTCATTCATTCCCTCATTATCCAGAGAACAAATATTGTGAATCTTAACTAAAGTTATGTTTTTATGACCTATTATAAAATCATTCTGGATTGTACATATTACACACTATCTAAAATAATTTTTAAAGTAAAATTTAAAAAGTAAATTTGTGAAATATACTAACAAAGTATGTGGCAATAACAAGTCATACCCACTTAGGGATGAAGTGAGGCACAAGGAAGATTACTGTCCCTAGAAGCACTAACTTTTCCCTCTGGAAGATTCTTTACTACTCTTAAGAAAGGACCTACAAATATCAACATTTACAATTCACATTAAGAAGAGAATTTTAGTTATTTTAAGAAACATCAGTGCACAAGGATGACTCTGTTTCTTGAAAAGAGGGGAAAATATAAATTTATCATAATTTGCTACAACATGAAACTTGCTTCCTAATACATGAAGCAGTTTTTAGGAAAATTTCCAGTTCAATGTACCACTTGCATATTGAAGATAAACCTTAATACTGCTTAAGGGAGAGGATATTTTTATAAAACCCAATTACTCTGATCCAGCAGGCAAGCTGTAGTATATACTCTAATGGGGACCTGCTTCTTCCCTATCCCTTTAACTGAGTTAAAGTCAGCTCATACTGATGTAAACCTGAAAGTTACTATTTCACTGGTGATCATGAGACCAAGATTGTAAACACATTTTTCTAACCCATTAAAACAAAGAAACAAAAATCTTTTCATCAAGTATTACACATGAAGAACTTTTACTTTAAGAGGTTCATACAAGACAAGGTGAATCAGTGAAAAATGGGCCAAATCTTTTAAAGACATCCTATCACAGCACTTTAAATATACAAATGTATAATTTACCTATTTGTAAACAAAATTCACTTAATGGTTTTGACTATAATATTTCTCTGGCTCAATCAAAAAAGCAGTATCTTGAGCATGTTGAGAAATCAAGTTTCTACCATAACTTCAATATAGTGAATTTGTGTAATCTTAATATCCACCAAATCAAACAGCAGCATTCATGCTTTTAATAAGTTTTAATATCCAAGAATAAATATCTTACGAGCGGCTTCCAATTTAATTAAACTCCTTAGAAAAATGTTACTTAAGCATTTGAGACAGAATTTTTAAAAACCTTTAATTTCTTTTAATTCATCATTTCACCAATATAACACTTCTATTATACATCAGAGCAGAAATGTACCAAACAAAGCCTACTTAAAGGATCAAGACAACCAAAGTTTCTCATCTCCCTATTATCATTGTCAGTTTCAGTGTATTTATGAAGACAGCTGATTCTTTTCACTGCAGAATAGGATAGTGTGTCCACCCAAGTCTTCTGCAGTCAAATCGGAAAACCACTTAATTATAGATTTCACTTCAAAGTGACTTTGTTCTTCAAGCATAGAGAATACTGACAGATTTTAAAGACTGACTGTATTATTTCATATTTTTTTTCTCAAACTAGACTGGAGTTAGTTCACTCTAGTTTTAGTTAACATGATGATCCTTTTTCTTCCTTTAAATAAAAAAAAAAACAAACAGGTGTGGGGATGGGTTCTAGTTCTATGTAGTATTTACTTCTGAAAAATTTTTTTGATGTTAAAAAGATCATTATCAATGGATTTATAATGTCCCTGCAACACTTAGTCTTGTGAAGTTTTAAATGTAGCAGCCAAAATTTCAGGAAAAAATGAGAAAAATGTATTTGAAACACAGAAGTCTTTATTTTACAAAATTTACTTTACCTCTGCAATATTGTCTCATCTTATTTCAATCCACAACAACTCAAACATTATTGGCAGCAAAGGAAAAAAGTATCCAATCAAATATACGTAGATATATTTTGATTTGAAAAATACAGTATTTCAGAGTTGCATGTTTGATTCTCTGCTGTGGTCCTTTATTTGCTATAGTTGGTTGAAATCACAGTGAGAACATATAATCATCACATTAGTCCACAAACCTAATATAAAAGGAAGGTATTACACATTCTCAGGTGTTCGGCATTATCATGAATTTCCTTAAAAATAAGTCAAATATCTTCATTTGTTCATTTATTTACTTGTTGTTGTATATGCAAGAGGAATTCATAATATGATAATGCAGATTCTGTTCTGTCTTCTACCATGTTTTGAAGGAAGTTTGCTTTCATTGGACTCTCATCCCTTAGGAATAAAAGACAAAAATATATACATTAGATAAAATGTAATAGTAAAATAAACAGTGGATTTGTCGTGAGGCTTTTAACACACTTTTTTAAAAAATATATTTATTTTAAAGAGTGAGAGCACGAGTGGGGGAGGGGCAGAGAGCCCATTGTGGGGCTCGAACTCACGAGCCTGAGCTCAGGATTCAGGTCCTGAGATCGTGACCTGAGCTGAAGTCAGACACTTAACCAACTTAACCAACTGAAACACCCAGGTGCCTCTTAACATACTTTTTACTAGTAACTGGATATAAAGCATAATTTAGTAATATTTATTGAAAATTCTTTTTCTTTTTTTTTTTTTTTTAAATTTTTTTTTTTCAACGTTTATTTATTTTTGAGACAGAGAGAGACAGAGCATGAACGGGGGAGGGGCAGAGAGAGAGGGAGACACAGAATCGGAAACAGGCTCCAGGCTCCGAGCCATCAGCCCAGAGCCTGACGCGGGGCTCGAACTCAAGGACCGCGAGATCGTGACCTGGCTGAAGTCGGACGCTTAACCAACTGTGCCACCCAGGCGCCCCTCTTTTTCTTAAGGGTTTGCGTAAGCAATAGGTCACATTTAACTATGATTCAAGACAGGTCCTTGCAAAGCTAAACACATTGTTTCACTATTAGTAAATGAAAAATTCAACTTACCTTATCACATAAAGTATGGGGAAAAATGGTCTCTGCTCTCTAAGCCAAGAGATGAATGCTATTATTCTGGCAGATTCTGGTGTATCAAGCTCCGGAAGGTCTGTCTATTAAACAAAAATCAGCAATATACAGTTTACTTGAGTCATATATCTAATGCATCTCAAAGTTTATCATGTATATGAATCACCTGTGCTGAACTGCACATATTGATTTAGGAAGTCTCAGGGAAGGGGTCTGGGAGTGTGTATACCACAATTTTCTAGTAGGAGCTAGGCAAACTTTTTTTTTTCTTTTTTGTATTTTCATTTATTTTTTTTAAATTTACATCCAAGTGAGTTAGCATATAGTGCAACAATGATTTCAGGAGTAGATTCCTTAATGCCCCTTATCCATTTAGCCCATCTCCCCTCCTACAACCCCTCCAGTAGCCCTCTGTTTGTTCTCCATATTTAAGAATCTTTTATGTTTTGTCCCCCTCCCTGTTTTTATATTATTTTTGCTTCCCTTCCCTTATGTTCATCTGTTTTGTCTTTTAAAAGTCCTCATATGAGTGAAGTCATATGATATTTGTCT